AAGTGTTAATTTTCTTTTTTTCCAAGACTCAAATAAAGTTTCCATTTCATGATATAATTTCATCCAATTTTTGTTGTAGCATTCTATTTTATCATATCCTAGGTATATTCCTAAACATTTCACCTCGTGGTTTGTTACGTTTATACCTTCTATATTGTTATATTGGTCTTTTAAAGAGCTTAAAAGAATACATTCTGTCTTATTTAAATTTATTTTCGATCCTGCATGTTTAGATCTATTGTATTTATTGCTGGGGATAGAGATTGAATGTTTTTAAGCGCCAAAGTCATATCATCTGCATGTTGTATATTCTTGATTTCTTTATCTGAATTTTTGTATTTAAAACCTTCAATGTTTATATTGTTTTAATTCTTTCTGACAATATTTCAGCTACAAAAATATATAATATTGCAGATATTGTACATCCTTGCCGAATTCCTCTATTCATTAAACATGTTTTGGATATCCAACCATTATTTTTTAATATGAAAGTAGGATTTTAATAAAGGATTTTCATCCATTTTATAAAACAATTACCAAAGTTAAATTTTTCAAGGGTTTTAAAAAGAAAGTTTTATTCTACCGAATCGAATGCTTTTTCAAAGTCTAAAAAGAGGAATTTTAAGACTACATCATCTGTTTGAATTTAATTTTCTGTTCCTAAATTTTGGAAAGAATGATAGTGCATTTGTAATACTTGATATCGTTAAAATGGAGATATATGTTTAAAAAACTATTCTGTAAACTTTATAGGGTCAACAATGAAAAAAATATGTGATTTAGTGAACCTTAGATATATATTGAGTAAATCTTACAAAAAACCTTAAGAAAAAATGACAGGTAAACTTGTAAGATGTAAATATTAAAATTAAAATATTTTGTGATTTTTTTTTTCTGAATGCAGTGGGCAGATTCAACATAAGTTTTAAAATAATCTTTACAGGGAAAATCATGAAAGGAATTTCTTGGCATATAACATTTTTTTTATTTTCATAAATTTAAAGCTAAATTTGTTATGGTTTGGCCATACTTGTCTTTGTTAAATTTGGACTGTCTAATTTTCAAGTTGTTTGAAAATATACATGAAAGACACGTGTTTTATGGACTTTTTATGTAGTTTGAGTTATTTAAGGTATCACAATATTTAGACCTATATAGATATATCTTCGATAATTAAGCTAACTTTTTCACAAGTCTAATGGTATTAATTTTAAAATCTTTAATCTCTCTACTAATGCATTCATTTGCTTTAACTAACATATATAGAATATCTTAAAAAGATTAATGGCATCAAATAAACAAGTTATGAATAAAAAATTTCACTTCAATACCTTAAACTTATATCTTGGGAAGCGACACCTGAGTAAATTCAACTGATTCATAAAACCACGACAAATCTCTCTGGTAAATGAAGCAAAAAGAAGAAAATACCGTATCTTCTATAACATTTGTTCAACAAAAATGGATGTTGTTGGGTGACATAGTTTATAATATGATATCATAAAAACTATATTAAAAATAAGTCCACTAGAAACAATGCGAATTGACCAGTGATAAATCCACGGACAAAAGGAGCTATTTTTAACCAACATCCATGAAATAAGTATGGCAATATTTTCAGTGTAAACAAACAAATAATATAAAAGGGCATGATGTCGAGGTTCAGTGGGATAGCATTTATCATGATTGGCTTCCTCAGTATGATCTGAAGATTCAAGGAGATTGACTTCCTCAGTATGATATGAAGAGTCAACGGGTTTGTCTGGAAATTTAAGGCGACTGACATTCATGAAGGAAAAAATCTGCACAAATCCAACGAATAAAATAAAGATAACGTTATGACGTTTTTTTTTGTATGGACTCGTTTTCGTCACAAATGACCACATAACCATAACAATCCAATGAAAGGCTACTATTATTGCAAATATGATGCCGTTCATTAGAAAAAGCATTACCAATAACATTACTCGTGGTCCTATTTCAAACGCTCTCCAGAGGAAATATCCCATTGCAGCGAAGACTTTTTTCTTCTTGGTTTTGTGCATATCATTGCCATTGAACACACGATGAGCTGGATAAAAATCAGTCACAGAATACGCGACAGACATCCAGGAGGCGAGAACTGTTAACAGTCGAATTGTATCTGAAATTAACAAAGGAAACGGTAATATGCTGCAGCTAAAATGAAATAAACAAGGGGCCCAATGACCTTATAGGTAACCTGAGAATTATGCAACAACTTTCCAACCATTGAATTTGGTTCCTGTTTTAAATCAGAGGCAATGACATTCAAAATTTTGAAAGAGGCACTATTGCGCATCCTAACTATTCACTTAGCATGCTTAATTTGGTTACTTAATACTCAAGAGTAGAGTAGGGGGACAAAAATGCATTTTAGCCAATCATTAATATTCAACAATAGTCAGTAGAGTTCCCACACCACATGAACCCCTTTACCCTAGGTCCACACACTTTAAAATTACGGAAAAGGCACCTTTGTTCCTCATTAATGTTGATTTAACCAAGGAGCAGATTTCAATGCATTCGGTCTTTTTCAGTATATAATTAGAGCCCCCCCCCCTCTACAGTACCCTTGACCTAAGGGCTTTAAAATTCATAATTCTGACAGATGATCCCTGGCTCATCATAGCTAATAGATAAATCATCTGCTTAAAACCCAGGGGCAGAAGAGATTTTCAAAGAATTAATGCATTTGTAATGCATTTATAATGTCCCGCCCTAACACTAGAAACCATGACCATGAAATTTGATTTGTTTATATAAAACATTGTTAATTGTTAGTATCAGACAGAAACAAGATGTGTTTGCGAAACACCGATGCCCCCGTATGGCAACATAGCAAATGTTAAACTTTTCTTAAATGCAAATTGAACATATTGGTACCCAAAGTAGGGTTTTCTCACTGGAAATACAATTGGAAATATGAAAGACCTAGCATCACCCGTTGAAAAGTGATGGCCAAGGATAAGAGTTTGAAATGTAGGTCAAACTTCAAGGTCCAAAGGTCAAATGGTGGGTCTCTTAAGAAAGGTTTCATGTCACAAGGATTACATGTGTGAAGTATGAAAGTCATAGCCCTAACCGTTCAAAAGTTATGGTCAAGGTTAAAAACTTAAAATGTAGATCAAACTCCAAGGTTAAGGTCAAAGGGTCAAATTTTTGACCGGTATATCGGATAATTGTAATTATGGTTAATAACTACATATTGAGTTCAATTAGATTTCATATTAAGAGTTGTCACGTGATATGGCAGTCGCGTGATTTTAGCACATTACTTGCAGTATGATGATTGATTGTTTTTTTTACGCCGAGTCGGCAATATTTCAGCCAACTTGCAGTATGAAGGTTACCTATAAATTTCACTGGTTCAAGGACATAAACATGTTAAATGAAAAGTTCAGTTTATAATGTTTTCAACACACTTCTGAAAAGTGATGCGATCCTATATCTAGGTAGATTCTGAAATTTCATTGTTAAAATCCTTTTTGTATGACCGAATGCTGTATTTGTTTTGCTGGTCAACAGCATGTAATATTGACAATGATAATCAAATTATTTTTAAGATTTCATCAGAATCGAAGCACTTTTAATATACCTTAATACTCTAGATTTGATTTGTAAAATCTTACTATGATCAATTGAGTGTATGCCCTTGCACTAGATCAATTAACTAATGACACCCTAATTACCCTCCGATGAACTTGCATACAAATACAAGGCAGTATCAATTAAATATGAAATATTTCCATTTCTATTTTTTTTCTTTGTGATAACTCATTGAAAGTTTATGGAGTTGATTTCTTGATAATTCTACCGAAATGTAAATTAGGCAGGTCGGTAGGCAAGAAGCTAAGGAGGCCTATGCATGCAAATCTCGTGCACATCTGTCTCTGTGTGTGACGCTAAGGAGGCCAAATATGCATATTATGTAAATCTCGTGCTGCTCCCTCTCTGTTTGACGTCATTGGCCGAAGACTATTGAAATTGGCGAAGGAGTCCTCGTGTAATATAAATCTATGTCTACGTTTTTAAAATCTAAATCTACAATATATTTCACGATGAAATGGAATTTTAAGGAGTCACTCTCTAGTTAGTATAGTATGCCAGGGACATCAGTGATAGTGGGAAACATGGGATAATGTATGCGTAACGGGCTTCGCAAATTATTCCACGTTTCCCACTATCCTTGATGCCCTGGCATACTATACTTGCTAGACAGTGATTCCTTAAATATACAGAAAATATATTAATAAAATTGTGAAGCATACATTGAATCGAAGTAAATGCTTATAGAATACATGTATCTATAAATAATATTTTATTAAATTATAGAATACATTTTTCGTTGAGAAAACATTTATTTACTTGATCTGCCTCACGTTTTCCGAAATGACGTCACATTGACAACTGCATTGCGCAGTGACTTGTTCATAACTTATATGGGATTTAGAGTTACCTGAAAAGGGGGAGTGGTCTAAGTAACACTGGTGTTAATGACCTGGAGATCCCTAATATTCAGGATGTCGAAAATCTATATACACAAAGCATTACACAGGAAGTCTATGTTTGGTAATCAGTGTCAATATTCCGTGTTTCATGTCTAATTTTGAGTGAAACTACTCGAAATGATTGAAATATTTCAATAGAAAATTTATTGATGAACACTTTTATCGATATCTATTGAAGAAAAATAAAAATTATAAAGAAATATTGTTTCAGATTTCAAAATAATAATTGTAAAATTAAAGAAAAGAACACAAATTGAAACTGCTAAGTAATCATATCTTCTTTTAAATCAAGTTTGAATATCAGAATACAAACAATAATAAAATATTTCATTTATAGGCCTATCTTCGTCGTGTGAAAATTCACAATATACAGCGATAGGAATATACGATGGTCATTCAAAAAGTTCGTAGACTTTTGTCATAACCTTTTTATTTAACGTCATATTATAAACAAATTAAGTACACATATTATAACAATCAATTCAAATAATTTGAGCAAAAAAAATTGAATTTACCTTGATAATTGTCGAAATTCTTAAAGATGTAAGATAGCAAAAATTGGGTCACGGAGCAGGGTTCAATTTGAGCAATCTACTAGTTATACACTTTATAATTTCTATAGTTATTACTCATTACTCTAATAAATGTCCCGCCGAAATATGGCTGAAATATCGCCGACTCGGCGTAAAAAAAAACAATAATCATTCAATCTAATAAATGTCGTTTATACGGAATAAAATCGAAATGTTTAAATTAAGTAATAAAGTAATAATCTATTACATCAGATGCCAAAATTTAATGTAATTCATCGCTTCGTTTAAAAGATATCAATTTCTAAAGACGGATAGACTTCATTGAAAAAGCAAAAAACGAGGAGCAGCAAGTAGCGATAAATTTTTTTGAATGGTCTGTTAAGACAAGGTTATAGTTAAAAATCTTGTCAAAAGAGTAAGTAACGTCATGAAACTAGATGTGTGATTCATTTTTTCGGAACTTGTGAAAGCAAAGCTACCCGGAAAAGAATTTGAAGTCACTGACAATCCAAATTAAGCTACTCAAATGATTGTAAACACACTAGGTGTCAAGTGTTATATATACAATTTTATGAATGGGGAAGACTCTACAAACCGTGTATGAAATGGAAAGGCAGAGTACGTTTGAGAAACTTTCTCGACGTTGTTTTTGACGTCACGGTGTTATTAACCGTGCTCCGTGATGACAAAACATGTTGCTTTTAAAATTGTCTAACATGAGTTCCATTTAATCCAATGGAAAGAAACATGCTGTAGTTAATTATTCATGTAGCTTGATGCTTTCTAACAAGTTAAAATAGCAAATGACCTTATTATGTAGTTTTTTTTAAAGAATCTTTGGTTTTGTATGATTTCACAGTTTCGTTTTTCTCGTACAAATGAGGCTCTGTCCCCTTTTTGTAACCATAACTGTGCTGTGTAAGTACGGAAATCTCCGAGGTCAAGGTCAAAAGGGTAAGGTTGTTGGTATCCTATGAAGGGTCTTGCGACAAAGAATTATACATATTTGAAGTATAAAAGTCCTGGTATTCAAAAGTTATAGCCAAAGTTAAAGTTTGGAATTTTTGTATAAAAGTTGGTCAAACTACAAAATCAAGGTCAAATTTGGTAGTACATTGTACCCAGAGAAATGTCTCGCCACAAGGAATACACATATGAAATGTGGAAGTCATGGCTCAACTAAATCAAAAGTTATGGGCATTGTTAAAGTTTTTCAGGACAAACAGACAGACAGACCGACGGACACGACAAAAAGTATAAAAAGATTCTCTGTTAGAGTGACAACTTACTAAATGACTTATGAAATGATTACGTTATCTTTATACCCCCCGCTTGAAAAGCGGGAGGGTATATAGTAATCGTTAATTCCGTCCGTCCGTCTGTTACGCTTTGGGGTACCCATCTCTTATCTGCAACTCCTCTCATACCACTGAATGACATTTGATGAAACTTTCACAGAATCTTTATTACATATTGCCATTGTGCACCTTCTATTTTACTTTTTGATCCGACACATATTTTGGGTTTCCCGGCCACAGGAAAACGTGGACTTTTTCACCAGTTATAACCATATGGGAGGCGGGGGGTATCATTTAGTGAGCTCATCGCACACAGTACCTCTAGTTTAAGATTGCTATCATGTTGTTAATTTTGAATTTACGGTACTGGGGGGGGGGGGGGGTAGGTTGGATGGTTGTTTGGTTGGTAATTTTCAACTTTCATAAAATCTGGGAAAAAACTTACGACTACGAATCGATATGTTTTCACAGTCTTTGAGATTCTCTTGTTCTTTGAGAATGAGGTAGATCTGTAGAAGCAGTTGGGGAGCGGATTCAATAAAGGCGTCAAACAATTTTAGTAGACTCGCATTCATATTGTTGCTGATCATTTCTTCATAATGGTAGGCAATGTCCTCCTCATTGTCTTTTGTGTCCTCCTTATTGTCTTTTGTGTCCTCCTTATTGTCTTTTGTGTCCTCCTTATTGTCTTTTGAGCACTCCTTATTGTCTTCTTGTTTTCTTTTCTTGCTTCTGCAGCCATGGTATATGTATGTTATAGTTCTGGGGAAAAAGTTAATTTCATGTAAAAAAAAAAAATTGGGATCATGATAAGATATATTTTTGTCAGTGCCCTTATTAAAAAAGTTTCTTTTTACTCAGCATATTTCTTTAATCATTATGACAATTAATTGTTTATTGTGTACATTCTTAATTTCAAATTTTTGTACATTTGTGGTTTTTTTTCTTTTCCATACTAGTAAGTAGGCCTATCCGATATCAATTCATTTTTCGCAGCAATCGACCGGGCTATTCAATATGACTCAAAAATGTGACTGAAGATTACTGGTACATGTATTTCCAGTTAGTTCTATAAGAATTATTGCACAGTAAATATACTTTAAAAGTACACGAATTGTATGTTTCACATTTACATTATTATCAATACACGAATGTTGTTACACGTAAGTTTTTGTATACATAAGGGTTGCAAACCTATTGTAATGTAGACATTATATCTGATTCTTCACGCTTACATTTAGAAAATGTGCTATCATATATCGCATTAAATCTTATTTTTGAGTAATGAGCTCCCTCGCATGCTATCGCGAGGAGTCTTTTGTTTGCTATTTCCACTCCAATCAAGGTTTGACATTGAGGTTTATTTAAGGAGCAAAAGTATAACATTGAAATACTAGTAACTTGAAATTAATTGTACCACTGTTTGTTGTACATGTATATTAGAAAAATATATCGTCCATTCTTTTACTATTTTCAAAGAAATTACAATTTATGGAAAGTACGATAAGGGAAATTGAAAAAGTTAAATCAAAGGGATAAAAAGGGGAGGCAAAAGAAAAGGGCGTTATCATGAGAACACTGTAAAAAAATAGCTAGTTAAAGTCACTAAGGAGACTAGTAAATTTATTGTCCATACAATCACTACCTTAAAAGCAGTTTTACTAGGTATTGGGTATATTTACTAGATAAAATTAGTAAATCTAGAATTGATAAGTAACTTTCACTATGTATATAAGTATCTATACGACCCCCGCTTCAAAACTCACTATCTTAGCCAGTAAACTGAAAGATTACTAATCATGACAAACGCTTTACGAGGCACACTAGCTAAATTCACTAGGTTTTTCTTTCAGTGAAGATTTCTCCTCCCAAGCCCTATACCCATTTCAAATGACAATGTCAAATTTACCTCTCTATGGTAGCGAATGGAAACGTCAAAATCAATAAAATGAAAGGTCGTGGGGGATGTTTCTCAGAAGTTTTATCCCTAAGCCAGATCGCATTTATGATTCCAGTTACTAAAAATGCAGCAACAACAACAGATACCGTCAAAATGCACTCAAATGTCATTCCATTGTCGTAATAGACTTTGGCTGTCCAAATGTCCGTAAAGACATCAAACACAAATAATCCCACAGACAAGACGCTGCCAATAAAAGCAATGCGAGAAAATGGATGTAACTGTTTTTCTATCTGCTTTGATTCGTCAAAGCTGACTGAAGAGTCGGCAGCCTCCGTGTGTCCGACCAAATTTCTGGTGCCTTCGGAAGCACTTGGATTCTCGGTTATAGGTTCTCCGGTTTGTAATCGGAGTTGGGGTCCATTCCTGACCGGTTTTAGACACACTTCTTCATTATCCACATTAGGTTGGTCAGCTAATTCTCTTATCAATTTCTCTTCACACGTTATGTTGTCAAGGTTCTCCATTTCGTTATAATGGTTTGAGCTGAAAAATTCTCTCCCACGTTTTACATTCTCAGAACTGTTCCATTAGTTCCAGGAAAAATAGTACTGAACACACAAGTCCTGTTTCAAGACCAATCGTGTCAATACACAATAAAGCGTAAATACCCAACAGTACACGTTAAAAGCCAACATGATCTGAGACGCACTAGGGCGCTTCTTTTCAACGATTCTATAAATATCTTTCAATGCATATAATTATATAAACATAAAGAATATTATCTGGAAATACCGTGTACTTAATATCATTGATATCCGTAGAAACATAAAGAATACTTTCTGGAAATATACATATTAATCTCAGAGAGATCCGTAGAGACTAAATATTATGGTCTTCAGTCTATATATATGGTTCTTCTATAGGAAATAGAGGGAAAACGAAAGTACTATAAAATATCTGAAGCAGATAATTGCTGGAACTCGGGGGTTTAAACGAAAAGCATATTGCTATGAAAATCTTTATATTTTGATGTATTTAAACCTTTCCAAAAAGAAAGTTTTAAAGTGATAATTAAGAAAGATGATACAAAAATACTGTATGGGTTAGTATAAATTCTTTTGTTGTAAAATGCAAATAATACATTTCTAAAATATTTTAATTTTTTTTCATATTATATGTTCAAAATAATTGTATCTTTCACCAACCATCCTTCTTAATGCTATATTAAGTGTTTGCATATTTTTTAATTGATAATTGTGAAACTTTGAATAGAATATGAAAAACCATAGGTATAAAGGTGTTCATTTTAGAAAATTGCATGAATTTTACAATTATTTTTAAATTTTCTAACAAATGCTTGTATCATAGTGTATGAAGTGTTTCTGTCAATAGAAACAAGCAGTTAAAGTTCGGGTAGGAAGTCCCGTATCGCTAGAGATCTCAAAATTTTTTGTCTCTATGGATCTTGTTAAAATTAGAAATATATATATACTATTCACAAAGAGTAGTAGATATTTTTTTTAAATGTTCACATATGTACACAATAGATACGAATTAAATCATGTTAACTTTTTAAATCGAAGGCATTTCCAAAGAAATCCATCACCTAAGAGCATTGAAAATTTGTAGACTGAGCTCATATCTTTTAAAGAAAAAATGTTCTTCCTAAAATTTTCAGGGTTTAAAGCTTATTCTTAGCAGATAAATTACGAAGTTTTATCATGTTTACTTGAAAACTTTTCGACTTATAACATTTAAAGTGATACCATTCTCTAACACCCGGAGCAATCTGCAAGGTCAAAAAATACAAATGTCAACAGTTCAATTTTTTGGAGAAAATATTTCAATTGCCAGAAACAAATTCTTAAATTAAACGAAACGGTGTTAGTTATAAATGTGAAATATCCAATTTTGATATGATCAAACATTAAAATAGGTAAACAAAGTAATACATGTATAGGTATGAAATATAATAATTTGAAAATTTTTTACGCTTTACGTATGTTTTCTGTAATAATTGCACAGTGGAACTTTAGCCCATTTCTTAATCTCTATATTAAGTGTTTGTCACTTCAAGAAACAGTTTTAGTCATTTAAAATACTAAAGATATGAAACTTTCCTAATCTACCAAACATTTATGGTGTACATTTTGTTCCATAAGTATTATTCAAGTTGTTATTTTTAAATTTTTAACAAATGCGGATTTACCCCATCTATAAAAAACGTTATAAAATTCATATTTATCAAAGCATGAGCACCAAACTTTTAGGAAATGTAGATTAACAAGACAGTTTTAAGAATTTTTTGTCCATTGAAAAAAAATATGTATATACTATTCACAAAGATTTAAAATATAATATATAGTTTAAATTTCAAATGTTCACATTCCTACACACAATGAAATGTGGCTTTTAAATTAAAATTTGTGTAGTTACTCCATATTTGTCCATAAATTTGTTAGATAATGTTGAGGTTAATCGATATACGAAATCCATCACCTACGAGGGTTGTAAAAACAACCAAAATTTGGGACAACTGTAAGCTCAATATCTTGCACTTAAAGAAATCAAAGCTGTTACTTGTGCCTAAAATTTTCATGCGGAATTGGATAAAGCGTATTCGAAAGATTCTGAAGAAAAAGCATTACTGCATGTGGCAAGTTTTTTCCTAGTCTGTTATCAGAAAATTTCAGTAATGACATTTAAAGTGAAACAGGTTCTATAACCACGACTAATATCCGTCAAAAATACAAATGTCAATGGACATGCAATTTTTTGGAGAAAATACTGGTAAGATCAAATCAGATAAGGTCTCAACTTCAAAACAGGAAACGGTTATAGTGAGTGGCCAGAATGGAATCTACTGCACGGATTTTATTACACGCCCGACGTGACGATGTGCTAGTATCATACCTGTATAGGTATGAAATAATAATAATTTGAAAACGCTATATTCCTACGCGCTTTAAGATCACGGTGTTTTCTGGACAGGCGTTGGCACAGTGGAACTTTCCATGCCCATTTCTTAGCCTTGTCTTTTATTATAAGTGGGAGGCATCACTGTTGCCTGCAGAAGAAACAGTTTTTGCTGAATGTGTAAAATACTAAAGACATCTTAGCACCCCATGTTGTGCCGTTTGCAAACATTTATGACTGTACATTTCTGTAAGAGTGAAGGCTCAAGTGAGATCTAAACAAATATTCATGTCCAGTGCGCCGTCTGTCTGTCTAGCTGTCTGTCTGTCCGTCTGTCTGTAAACTTTTCACATTTTCGACTTCTTCTCAAGAACCGCTGGGCCAATTTTAACCAAACTTAGCACAAAGTATCCTTGGGTGAAGGGGATTCAAATTTGTTCAAATGAAGGGCCACGCCCTTTTCCAAGGGGAGATAATCATATTTGTTAAAAATTAATGGCATTTTTAAAAAATTTCATTTCATTAAACCGCTGGGCCAGGAAAGTAATTACTCATGTGGAAGGATTTAAAATATAATATATTAAGTTTAAATTTCAACTTTTGGGCAAGGATGGGGCCAAAATGGCCGACCCATGTTTTACATAGGAATATATAGGAAATATCTTTAAAAATCTTCTTCTCCAGAACCACTCCTAGGAAAGATGAAACTCATAAATTTGGTAGATAATCAAGTTTGTTCAAATCATGATACGAAGGATGGGGCCAAAATTAATGTTTTACATAGGAATATATAGGAAATATCTTTAAAACGCTTGTTTCCAGAACCACGGAAAATTTTGTGGAATCATCCTCAGATAGTGTAGACAAGTTTGTTCAAATCATGACCCCCCGATCTGCACTGGATGCCTGATCAAATGGCTGTTACGTGTGCCACATGTTTTCCATAGGAATATATAGGAAATATTAAAAAGGTTAAACCACTGGGCTAGGAAAGATGAAACTCTGGAATCATCCTCAGATAGTGTAGCAAGTTTGTTCAAATCATGTGGCAAGGGCAAAATGGCCGACCCAAGATTTACATAGGAATATATAGGAAAAATCTTTAAAAATCTTCTTCTCCAGAACCACTAGGACAGTAAAGATGAAACTCATGTGGAATCATCCTCTGACAGGTAGTGTAGATTCAAGTTTGCAAATCAACCCAGGGGTAATGGAAATGCATAGTTTTTCATCCACATATATCGAAAAATCTTTAAAAATCTTCTTCTCCAGAACCACTGGGCCAGGAAAGATGAAACTCATGTGGAATCATCCTCAGGTCTAACTTCAAATTTGTTCAAATCATGACCCCAGGGGCAAGGGTGGGGCCAAAATGGCCGACCCACATTTTACATAGGAATATATAGGAAAAATCGTTAAAAATCTTCTTCTCAAGAACCACTTTGCCAGGAAGATGAAACTCACGTGGAATCATTCCCTGTAGTGGGGGATTCAAGTTTGTTCAAATCATGACCCCTGGGGCAAGGATGGGGCCAAAATGGCCGACCCAAGTTTTACATAGGAATATATAGGAAATATCTTTAAAAATCCTTCTTAATTACCACTTGGCCAGGAAAGATGAAACTGATAGGGAAGCCAAAGAAAGGTAGTTTATGTTTAGTTCAAGTTTTTTCAAACATAACCCCCGGCCCTGGGCATGGGGCCAAAATGGCCGACCCAAGTTTTACATAGGGATATATAGGGAAACCTTTTAAAATCTTCTTTTCAAGTACTTCAAAGCATGATTAGTGATACCTGGGGTATTTATATGGAATCATGTCAGGTAGTGTAGATTCTAGTTTGTTCAAATGATGAACGCCTTGAAGGGGGGGGGGGGCAGTAAATTCAAGCCCGATGTGCTCGGGTGAGCGCTGTGGCCCCTGGGCCTCTTGTTCTTTCAAGATGACAATTATTCCTGATGTCATTGGGCCAGGATCGTTACTGGATAATTCCAACAGCAGAACATCACCACATTACCATGGTTTGCACTCAATTCGGATCTTTCCACCATCGGGTATGACTTGGACAGACAACGTCAACAACATCTTGTCAATGTCCAAGAACTTGCTGCATCATCGCAACAAGAATGGAATAAACTTCCCCAAAAAGTCCTGGGACGTCTCGTTAGGAGTATGACACGGCGCATCCGAGCTTGTCTGGCCGACCATGGACCTTTTATCCGCTACTGACTCTGATTCACAATGCTGGTGAATTTGCTGTGTGACCCTGTCTTGGTGTCGACCCTTATACCAGAGAACCTGTCCTTTTCAGACTGTATACAGGGTTTCGAATAAATTCCTTCATGTTCCTCTGTCTTTTATTTCGTTCCAGACCTCTGGGCTGCATTGTCTTTGTATATCCTTGACGTTTTCCTGGCACATAAAATATCAAAATCATCAGATATTTCGGACTACTGTCACATTTGTATTCATTGTGACACGAACTTTCAAAGGGTATAAATATTTTTGACCATTTGGCCTTGACCTTAAAGTTTGACCCACTAAAGGATTATAATTGAAGATAGCTTTTGAACAGTAAGTACCAGGGTATCGTTTTTCACATTTGTATTCTTTCATTTCTATGTGACGAGACCTTCTTTTGAATACCAACATTTTGACCATGACCTTTGGAGTTTGACATGCATCTGAAACTTTAACCCTCAATTTGGCTACCATACGAGGACACGTGTTTCACAAACCCACCTTGTACACCTATATATCTTGGGAAGCGGCACCAGTAAATTTAGATGATGATGAAATCACGATAGATCACTCTGGGTAAATAAATCAAAGGCGAAAAAACTAACTTTTATTTACAAAACATTATTCACCAAATGGATGCTTTTGGGTTACATAGTTTATAAAATATCATAAAAACTATATTACAAATAAGTCCACCAGAAACAATGCCAATTGACCTGTGATAAATCCACGGACAAAAGGAATTATTTTTAACTAAAATCCATAAAATCAGTATAATAGTATTCTCAATGTAAACAAAAAAATAATAAAAAAGGGCATGATATTCAGTTTGAATGGAATTGTCGTTCTTAGCATCCTTTCGAGTTTTATTGGGATTGGTACTCTTTGCATCTTCTTGAGATTTACTGGGCCTGAATATCATGAAAGAAAAAATCTGCACAAATCCAACAAATAAGATAAAGATAATGTTTTCGTAGGTTTTCTTGTAAAGCCTCATTTCCGTCGTCGCAAATGACCACGTGACCATAGCAATCCAATGAAAGACTACTGTTACTGCAAAACCGAAGCTGTTTACGAGAATAAGCATTACTAACGCCATTACTCTTGGTCCTATTTCAAATGCTCTCCAGAGAAAGCATCCCGTTGCAGCAAAGACTGTTTTTTGCCTGGGTTTGTACATAGCATTGCTCACGCGGATTGCTTGATATGAAGCAGTCACAGACCACGTGACAGATACCCAGGAGAAGAGAACTGATGACCGTCGAATTATATCTGAAATTAACAAAGAAGCTTAAGTTTAAAAAAAATGAAAATATGTATACATTTATGAGACAACAGGATTTTGATTTGGTAATTGTTAATATGAAATTAAATCCAAAACAGGACTTTATGAACAGAAATAAGTTATGTATAAATACATGCAACACGTAATCTTCATTTATCAATAAGTCGCTCGCGTGGCGCAGTGATTAGAGCGTCTGCTATAGAGTCGCGAAGTAAGGAGTCAATCCTTACGTCGCGGGTTCGAATCCCACTGTGGGACGTGGGGACCGGTCTTTCGGATGAGACCGTATAAACCGAGGTCCCGTGTCGCAGTAGGTGCTGGCACGAAAAAGATCCCTCCTTACTATATGGCCCTGAGTGCCGAGTATAGGACAAAATTAAAATTTGCAGCTCTTCACCGGCAAGTGGTGATGTCTCCATATGAGTGAAATAATCTCGAGAGGGACGTTAAACAATTTACAATCAATCAATCATTTATCAATGTAAATTATTATTAAGTTATTATCATGTTATCAGAAAGACAAATATTTTTGTTAAATTGTCAGTTTACTAAATGGTTTCTGAAAATGATTGTGTTATCTTATAATAGCTATCATGTTGTTATTTTTTAATTGCCTGGGGGTAATTTGCAGTTTTCATAAATTCTTGAAAAAAATTACGTCTATAAATCGATATGTCTTCACAGTCCTTCGGATTCTCATGTTCTTTGACGATGAGGTAGAATTGTAGAACTAGTTGGGGGACAGATTCAATAAACGCGTAAATCATTCTCAGTAGACTCGCATAATGATTGCTTTTTATCATCCTCTCATAATAGTCATGCTTTTTAATGCCGTTCTTCTTGCTCTTGTAGACATAATATAAGTAGATTGTATTTCTGCAAATGCAACAAATATATATATATATATATATATATATATATATATATATATATATATATATATATATATACCCAGCAGGCACGCAACGTTGTTTCAACGTTGAAAGGAGGTGGATTTCAACGTTGTTTTCAACGTTAGAGGTTCAACGTTGAATCCTCAACCTTTTTTCAACGTTGAAACAACGTTGAAGCTTCACAGTATTTTTCAACGTTGAATGTTCGTCAATATTTCAACGTTTGAAACAACGTTGAGGCTGCAACATATTTTCAACGTTGAATGTTCGTTGACATTTCAACGTTGAAACAACGTTGAAGCTGCAACATATTCTCAACGATTGATGTTCGTTGATATTTCAACGTAAACAACGTTGAAGCTGCAAACATATTTTCAAAGATGTCATTAGCCGTTGATATTCCATATTTAAAACAACGTTGAAGATTCAACATGTTTTCAACGTTGAGTATTTTCTGATTATATAGAATTAAAACAAGGTTTAAAAATGCAAATGTGACTGTCTCTTGATTTCAACGTTGAAACAACATGGAAGATGCAATATATTTTCAACTTTAGCATGTTTAGGAAAGTTAGGAAAATTTAACGTCGAAACAACGGGTAACGAGTATTGAGCACTTTAGTTTTTAAGTTCAAAATATAAAGGTGTCTTTAACTTCTAATCCATGCAATTTTTCGCAATATACACACAGCTGTATGCATTCTAAGAAAATATTATATATGTACATGTAATAGTTATACTTAATAAATGAAACGCATGCATTATCA